ATAAGGCATGAATGAAACAAAATCTTCACGAGGCAGAGAATAAAACATAGGGAAGTCGGGAAAAGAAAAGATCTTTATATATATACAAAAATGTTTACAATGTCCGAACAGGACCCAACACAAAAAACCAAAATGAAAGCTAAGGGCTAAGTTTCTTGGTTATCTACGGGGGCAGTCTCTTCTCTGTCGGATCAGGAGCGGTCTCTTCTTTATCAGGCTCCCCCCCCGTTTTCGGATCTGCTCTTGCTCCCATCGTCATCGTCATCGCCATAAAAAACCAGAGCTTCAGCATCGACTTCGAGTTCTTTGGCCTTTTTTATCTCTTCAGCGAGATCGAAACCACGAGCATGGATCTCCTCGAGAGTTTCCCTTTTGGATCGGCACTTAGCAAGTTCGGCGACCCAATCGAATATCGGCGGACTCGGGTGCCTCTCTTGCCTGGACTTGGGCAGCTTCAGCACCGGCCCGATAGACGGCCACGAGCGCATCCGCATCGGCCTTTGCCTTTTCGGCATCGGATTCGGCCTTGGCAAGTACAGAGGCCAACCGAGCTTCAAGCTCCTCAATTCTTCTTGCTTGAACCAAGCCTTTTTCCTTCATTTTCTGAAGTTGGGTTTCAGACGATGATAACTGGGCTCGAGCAGTCTCTTTTTCTGCAGCAACGCGGTCCATACATTCTTTCCACCACAAAGACTCCGTTCTTATCACGTCGACCTCCTCACGAAGCTTCCCGATCATCTCGATTTTTTGCTGCAGCTGCGAGACCGAAATGTTAGCTATCGTTCCGGTATCAAGCCCATATGCTTTCAAAAGCATTATTATCTGCTTAGACAAATCGGTCTGATCTCGATAAGCCTTGGCCAGCTCAGCTCGGAGGTCTTTTATTTCCTCTTCTCTCTACCTTAAGGAAAGTCTAAGGGAGTTCCTCTCGTCAGTAGCCCGTTGTAGGTCGGCCTCGAATCGATGCAGCTCATTCTGGGATCGAGAACATTGTTCTCGATGAACTGTCACTGCCTACAAAGAAACAAGAAGCGAAGTTAACGAAAAATGAACATAAAGATAGTACCGACAAAATAATTTTAAAAGCTCACCTGATTCAAAGCCTGCCGCAATCCGTGAAAAAGATTCGATTCATCACTAGCACCGGCAACGTCCTCAATGCTGGTAAATAGGTCACGAAAGGGATCTTCTTCATCGAGAGGCATGTCTAGATCGAGGGCTCCATAGCTTGAGCTTCCCGAATCACCCTTGCGGAAAAAGCGAGAAAGGTAGGCGAATCCTCGACTGCTGCTGCCCCAAATGAATCGCCTGGAGCGTTCTCCTCGGTTCGAAGGGGTTCGAGGGCCTCTTCGGTCATATCCCCTGCCGGTCGACTCCGATTAGATGCGTCTTCGATATCCGATAGTTCGGGGACTCTACCCGAATCCTTCTCCGGTATATCTTCAGTTCGAGGCGTAGCCTCATAGAGCATCATCAATCAAGCCGGCGATGAGGCATCGGTGGTTCTCTTCATTCGGACTGCCAGCGCGGACTCTTCTTCCTCTTCTTCTTCTTCTTCTTCTTCTTCTTCTTCTTCTTCTTCTTCTTCTTCTTCTTCTTCTTCTTCTTTCTCCTCCTCCTCCTCCTCCTCCTCCTCCTTCTCCTCTTCTTCTTCTTCTTAGACGCAGAACGGATTCCACGGTCAAAGGAATGACATTCTTATTCGGCTTACGAGCCATCCTCTTATTCGGTTTTGGATCTTCGGGAACCGAGGCTCTTTTCCTTTTATTTTCCTTCGCCGGCTTTGGGACAGAGGCCGAAATTTCATCCTCATTGGACAAGGGCCTCAAAACCGCGTCTTTACCCAAACCTGCATATGGAAAACCTTAATAAAATATTTTGAAAACCACCTCGTTCGGATCATCAAAGAGTCCGAGAAATGATCTTACCGTAATTTTTGGCCTCCCACCGACCCTTTGACAAATCACGCCATGAGCGTTCGGCGTATGTGGAGGTCGAAACAAGGGCTCGTACCCAGTTCTTGAGATTGGGAACTGCTCCGGGCATCTAGGGAACCGCTACATCACAAAAAGAGGAGTGTCGATGAGAGAGTAAATTAAAGAACAAAGTAGAAGTAACAGCAAGATCACACTTATGTTTCATATTCCACTCTTCGGGAAAGGGCATCTTTTCAGTCGGAATAAGGTCCGAAGTCCTTACTCGAACGAACCTGCCCATCCAACCCCGGTCCATGTCCTCGTCAATACTCGAGAACAGAGCCTTGGTAGCCCGACGCTGAAGTTTTATTAACCCTCCTCGTAAAAGTCAATGACGGTACAATCGGATAAGATCGTCGAGGGTGAACGGCATCCCCTCGATTTTGCTCACAAAATATCGGATCAGGATAACGATCCGCCACAAAGAAGGATGGACCTAGCCTAGGGTTATCTGGTATTGTCGACAGAAGTTAATAATAACGGAATCGAGGGGACCTAAAGTGAAAGGGTAAGTATATACATTCAAAAACCCTTTCACATAAGAAGTGATATCTTCGTTAGGGGTAGCAATTATTATTTCTTTTTCACCCCAATTGCAATCCTTCTTTAGCTGTTCGAGGTGCTTCTCGGTTATCGAACACATGTACCTCGATACCGGCTCATACCGGCCAGGGACCGATGAACCTTTATCGACCTTAAAATCTGAAGTAAGGACACACGCCCGGGGAACACACTCCTCAGGCCGTGGTTCTGCCGGTGTCTCATCGGCGGCACACTGTGAAGATGAAGCCTTCTCTTTCTGAGGAATGTTTTGCGATGTTTTCGCCATTTTCGAATTCAAAGGTGAGGAATAGAAGAAAGTGACAAAGATTTGGTAGAACTGAAGAGGGGCTTTTGCAGAAAGAAATCACAGATTTACTGGTAAGTTGGAGAGTACGAAGAAGAACTTGAGAAATTTGGAAGATAGAAGATGTAAAAGTGGTAAAAGATAAAAGAAATGGTTATTTATAGGTTCAAGCGATGGCGGTTCAGTATCAGCAGTGGCCGACCACCGCCTGGCATACATTAAATGCCTTGAAAGACTAAACTGACGGGACAACTACTAGATGCGTCATGGTCGAACCCGATGAAAATAACAGGTTATAATCCGATCGAACTGTTAAAAAATCATATCGTTTCTCGCCACATTCTTTCTGAGAAATGAGGGAACTATATGTATACGGTCGAAATAGGTTTCAGCCTTAGCACGTCCGATCGAGTTCGAACGATAATCTATCGAAGTAAAACCCTGAAGGTGGAACAAACTAACCTCGAACCCGGGGAGGCCAATCCGTGTCGAGTTCGATATCATCATCAAGCTCGAATCGAAATCGAACCATGATGCAGAGTAGATCTATTATGCTGATAATCCAGAGACCAATCAACATTGACCTCGAATCAATTCGAGGGCTCGAGCCAGGATCGGGCTCGAACCAAGATCACGAGTTCGAGCCAAAATCAAGCTCAAACCAAAATCGAGGGTTCTAAGCAAGATCGAGCTCGCAGACAAAAGCCGTTGCAATCCCACTAGAGAGAATCTTGGCAGAAATCATGGAAAAACTGACTTATCATGGGTCTCCCACTGAATGTTTATTTTATTATGCTTAGAGCCAAATCCCTCCACTATAAAAGGGCTTGGTTACCATTTATGTAAAACAAATTTTTTTTCAGGCTTATATTGTAATAAAAGTGCTATATTTTTCTACAGTAAAGAATCGCTCTTTCAGATTTCTTAGATTGATTCTATTTGTTGAATTCTAAGATTCATTGTTCTGATAACCTTATCTATTTTGCATTCTTCGCAATCTATATTTACATTTCTATTTATCCTTACATTTTGTGTTAAGTTACGTTACAATTTCTCAGAACTGCGTATAAATTCAACTCTATTCATTTTTCGAGTAAATAAGGGGTACCGAACATGGGGTGTGGGATAAAAAAAAAGTCGGTCACGTGATGAACACCATAGCCCATACAACAAGTGGTACCAATGAGAACATTGGTATCTGGTGCTGATTATAGGGAACTAGCCATATACAGATTCTACCAATGAAATTATGAGAATATTACTTTCTGTTGATAAAAGTGTTTGTTTTTTGGCACGAATCTGGAAAAGGAAGTTCCTTACGTCGAAGACAATGACTAGTGACTAGTAACAAACACAGTATATGTTAGAAAAGTAATAAATTGTACTAGAAAAAATTTACGTAATTTGATAATTTTGCTTACTTGCGATCACGTAAAAAATAACTCTTAATTAATTGAAAAGAGAAAGAAGAAGTTAAGGGATAATTTACAAATAAAAAATACATACCCCTTTTATAGGTATTTGAATATCCTGTCGAGATAAGCGCTTACATCATAGAAATGTCGATGTAAGCGCTTACATCTTTTTGATTTTTCTTTCTTTTGTTTTTGTTCACTTTTCTTTCTTTCACATATAAGAACATTTCACATATAAGAACATATTTGATGCTACCCGTATATTCCGAAGTTTGTTTGTGTCGCCATTTTGAAGAGATACTTCAAAGTCCAACAAAAAAAAGAAGGTTCACACAATTCTTTTTCCAAGCCTCAGACCGAGCAAAATTTTTACACTTTAACAACCCCCAAGAGAATACTATGTAGGAAGATCTTGCTCCGCCTTACGAAGGTGGAGAAAGGTTTCACTCAACTCAAGCGAGCCAAAGAAACATAACTACGGCTCAAGCCAAGCAAGTATGGATATTCAGGTCTATGTCGCTTCATATAAATCCGTTTCGTCTTATAGCCGGTTTATCCGTTTCGACTTATAGCCGGTTTGATCAAGCTGTAAAAATACAGCTTATCAGATTTTTTTTTTTTCAAAAGTGCTTTTCTTAAAAGTAATTTTAATAAAAATTAATTTGTATTTGACTAATTAATTTAGTAAAAATTAATTTATATTTGACTAATTAATTTGAAAAACACTTCTGAGCAGCAATTAGTATTTGATCAAATTTTAAAAAAATACTTCTAAGTGTATTTTTTTCAAAAGTATTTTTAGTGAGAAGCAATAGCTTCTCCAAAACTGCTTCTATTTACCCTCAAAAGCACTTATTCCCCTTTCCAAAACTTTACCAAACACCTTACTTTAAGAAAAAAAACATTTTTGACAAAAAAAAGGAACACAAAAAACGGACAAAAAAATAAAAAAAAGCGCTTTTGACTCAAAAAAAAGTTTGGTCAAAACAGGCTATTAGTCCCCCAACAAAAAAAAAAAAGAGAAAAGAAAAAGAAAGGCAGAGAGGTTGAGGATGATTTAGCTTCAATCAAGAACAAGGGGGGATTACAGTGATATGCCTCAAAGGATGTGATACATCAACTCCACCAGCATGCTCCACAAATTCAGAAGGAGTAAATGATTTTCCATGGCAAACACAGATAATGCTAATCTCCGTTCTATTATTATACCTGTATAACAACCCCCTTATAGTCTTCCCATTTGGACCATTACCAGTGGTTGACACACACGGCATTCGAGAAAGCAATGAAATGCCACAATTCTTGATTTCAGACTTTGGAATCTGCTTCAAAGGAGAAGAAAATGGACCTACATTTGCTTGGTTTGTGGAATTGGGACCTACTTTAGCATCAAATTGCATTCTCTTCTCTGCATTTTGGTTCTGTTCCTCTTTGATAGGAATGACATTAGTTGTAAGTTGTTCAAACTGTGTATGCTTTCTCCCTGAAGTACTAGGCTGTATTCCTTGTGCATTATCACTACTGCTTCGACCTGCAAAGCCACCAACTTGTTAGGATCAAATGTATTCAATAAAAAGATAAAGCTGTTCACATTAATTTTTGATCCATGACATACGTATGTTTGCAGGGTAAAACGGGGTGTGAGAGTAAATGTAGCTAAATGTTCTTTAAACTTCCTCTGTTTTAGGAGGTGGCAGGAGGTGGTGATCAACTATATTGCACGGACTTTTCAAAATGCAGCCGCACCGTATCGGATCATCCATAAATACCGTACTTTTGAAGGATTCGATGGACACCCAATAATGACGTTTTTGTAAAGCCCGAGTAACATAGGTGATCAGGGCCAATGTTTATTCACATTGCTTTAACTTTTTTCCCCTTGTACTAGGCACATATTGTTTTTCCCCGGTTTTAAAATCCAACATGTGGAACCTATATATATATATATATATAACTTCAAATTAAAAGAACAAAGTATATTACCTTTAGGAGATGAACTTTGGCATTCTGAAATTGTCGAGGAACATCTTTCCGGAGAGCCATTTGACAACGTTTTGCAATTCTTAACACTGCTTTTGCTGGAGAAATTTCCCTCCGATTCACTACTCATACATTGGTTATAACTCATATTCCCACCCCTATTCTCATTATAACGCCTAAAACCCCGACAATCATCACCCTGTAGCACATTTTTCTTCATCAATTCCCTTTTCCCAGCATTCTGATCCCAAAATGGAACTTCAACATTCTGATTATTTACATTTGAATCTTGATTCAAAGAAAGATTCAAGCTTTTTGCAGCTTCATAGGTACCACATTCATTGCTAAAAGTACCAATTTCCCCTTTTCTACGAACTTTTTGCGCTGAAATTTGTTCTTCATTTTCCATCATTTCTCTATGTATTGCCCTCTTTTGTGACCTTTGGCACTCTATTAACATCTTATAATCTGATTTTTTTGTGCTATAACTTCCTCCAATGGATAATCCTAAACTCAATTCAATCCCATTATCATCTTCCTTCAAAAGCTCCAACATTTTACAATCCTTCGCCATTAACACAGTAAACATATATAATTAAAACTTCATAAAACGTTCAGCTAATTGATTTCTTGTAAAAGCTTTTATCTTTTGGAACAACGATGTTACTTTACTAATATTAAAGAGGATAGAAAAACAGAACTATTTAAGCAGTAAATGTAGAGTCAGAGAAAAGGCCGGGTAGAAAGCCACGTGGCAAGAAAAGAGACGATGAAGTGAGAGTTTCATGACACGTAAGATTAATTAGTCCAAAGCGTTTAATGAAGCAAAAGCGTTAATCCACCACCTCAAGACCTGCATGCTCTTTATCTGACACGTGGCTTTGAACTGTGGCACGTGCACTGAGGTTCTAGTTTCGCGACACGTGTCTGAACTTAGCAGAAGGGGCCATTAATGAATAGTACGACCAAGTGGGTGAAAAGATTTTGGTGTCTCCTAGGAATGTGTGGTTAACTTTACACGTGGCGAATAAGGACACACGTTGTTTATGTTCTGGTGGGCCCTTTTTGGAAAAGACTGGTGAACTTGACGCATGGTGGGGCCAGTTTCAAAGTACACGTCAGCTATCAGTTAGGTCATTAGGAATTTCTGTACGACGGGGCGTGAATGACCAACTAATCTCAAAGCACAATTAAAACTTGATTACTACATCAAATTAATAACACAAGGTCATTTGTTTGACAAGATACACAGTTTAAAAATTTTAAAAAAAGATTGATACATACTACGTCAAGGTGTTTCATTAAGTACTTAAATAATTAAACAAAGACTTTTACTATGTAAATCATACAGGAGTAATAAATAAAGTTTATTTTTCAATCAGTGACGGTAAGAATTTCACACATTTTTACGTTTTTTCTCTTTTGGATAAAAGAATGAATCTTTGCTATTATTTGGACATAAATTTAATTAAAACTTGAAAAATAAAATTTAAAAGTTGTGTTAAAAAATAATTTTTGAAAGTTAAAATTATATTTTAAAATATATTTTATTTAAAGAAAAATTAATAATTTTATAAGTGAAAGAAAAAATTTCACCAATTTTTAGAACTTGAATTTTTTTGAATTTTTTTACCAAAACACGATCATACTTTATAAACAAATAATATTTTCAATTTTTTTTTGTTTTTAAAAAAATAAAACCAAAATCTATGGTCAAACGAATCCTAACTAGTTTTCAAAAAGATAAAAACATTTTTTTTCTTTTAGATTGTATAAAAGAAGTGTATCCCATAAAAAGTACAGAGCAAAGTTCTGAAAATATTTCTTCTTCAATTTCCACCACACTTATGATATATAATCTCCTGTACTAGCGAAAGGGGGGGAAAAGAAAAGCAAAGATCTGTATAAGTTCTGATATCCTGATGCAGTGCACGATTAAATCCACCGTCCCTGAAACTTATGTGATTGAGATTTCAAATTCAGAAAATGCCAATCTCCAAAACAAAAACTTTTGCTTCTTTCTCAAAGAAAAGATAGGATGGAGAAACTGATTTCACATAATAACTTAAGAACTGACAAATGTTACAGTCTCTGTTAATATAGTCATTAGCATTTTACACCGGCGTTGGCAGGCGAACGATCAATTGGCCGCTCATAACACTGCAAATCACAAACGAGAACATATTAGATTTGCTAAAACTCGTGTATATGAAATTGGATTTACGATTGTAGTTGAACTACTCGGGCTAAATGACTCACCTTTTTACGTAATAATAACAGAAATCGGCCAAGATAAACGTTTGAACAATTTCTGCCAAAAAGACCATTGGTATCCAGAAGTAACCGCGTCCAGCCAAGTATATATATGCTCCAGCAGTGTCATAAACCTGTATAGGAATAGTTGCAATTCTTAAGTTTACATTATAGAGCTTGGACTCGCGTTGATAATGGACTAATGTGTAAGTTGCCATTTGGACCATATTATTTGCAAGGGCTAATTCAGAATTTAGAGTTAGTAGGTTATAAATGAGTGTGATCTTATTATATATATAAATCTTAAAAAAATTTCACGAAGGTATACATAGTCCGAGCCAAAGATTCAGTTGAACCATAAGATCTGCCCTTGATCTGCCTCCCATTGTTCAAGAAGATATAGAGCAGAAGATAATACTATAAAACTAACCTGAATAATCCAATGAGCACAACCTAAGAATCTTGCAACACCCAGTGCAAAAACATAATGGGCTGAAAATGGTTCAATTATCTGAAATGCAACAATATAACATATTATTGGCTTTTTATTTAGGAAAGATAAGTTTAAGAAGAAGACGTGCTTTTTTCTCTCTATATATTTTGGAAAAGAAGAGATATGAACCTGAACATTCTGCATCAAGCGAAGCTGAGGAAGCACCGAGACAGATTCCAGGTACACACAAAAAGCCCAAAGCATCCGGTTGATGAGAATATGAGTTGTAGTAGGATGGACAAAGAAGGCTATAACCGCGGCAGGAACTATCTGTGCAAAGGAGTGGCGTAGTTCAAAAGCAATATCATGAAGCAATTCCATTTGCAAATAAATCATTTACAAAGCGCCATCTCATCGCATCCCTGGTTGGTTGGCCAGGGATTTGAGTTCCTTTTCTGTGAGTGCATATTTGTAATCTTTCTTTGTTAGTACTCGAACAACAAATATTAGACCTTCTTCCTTCTAATTTGTTTGTTCATTTGGTAACAATGTACATGCATCTAATAGAACTTATATAAGTCAAGATCATCACAAATGGGGGCAAGTGATCATGTTGGGGAGAAAAAACAATAAAAATAGAATAGCATTTTATCATTGACAGAGTAAATGGGATCACACATTTGGACATAGAAATAACACTTATACGAAAAGTATATGCACTAATATAAGCTTAAGAACTACTCAATGAATTAGCAGAAACCAGCGTTTAATTCAACAAAATCATACAGGAAAGAGTCGTGGAGTGGAATTGTATTTACCGGATAATATAAGGGCATGTTATCCAGATCTGCCATGTAGGATGACTTCAGCTTGAACTTCATCATATATATTACCCACAACGTTGCCACAAGGGTGATTAGATCTAGCACAGTGTGGATATCCGCTTCCATGATAAAACTACAGTATAACCTTACGGCCAAAAATATAGCTGTAAGCACTTGAGTCTTCAATGAAAGACCTAACAAAGCAGGAAAAGAAAGAACATCAGATAAATGGTGAAAAGGAATCTTTTTTTGGTACAGTAGAAAGAATTACTAAGCCTCAAATCGCAAATTCGTATAAATAGTAAATAATTTGACAAGTGCTACAAGTAAAAACAGCTCATGTTGGACTTCTTGCATTCTGCCTGTAATAACATGGTTCTGAAGTAGTACATTTTATACAACGGGAACACATTGGACAATCATTTTATCGAGGGATAATAGGGAATGTAAAAGATTTACACTGTCATAACGTTAAATTAGATTACAATGCCTTGAGCAAAATGAATCATCTTTTTGATGTCACCATGTAACTGTCTAAGAGCAAAATGAATCATCCTTTTGGACATATCATTTCTTGTAAGACAGCATGTCATTCAGCTTGACATACATAAATATGTTCCTGAATCCTAAGTTCCTGACTATCAAGAGTCCCCTCATGAAACAGATTTGATACACACTCTTACTTTAGCAATCGAATGATCTGTGACAATAACTCAAGTAGTCACATTCAACTGTATCATTTTTTTTATAAGGTATAGATGCAAGAGAATTCCTCATTGATGTCGGCATCACATGAGCCTGACCAACACAAAAGGTACAGCCAAGTCCAAGACGAGCATGACAGTCATTTTGTTGTTTTACCTTATTATTCAATCAGAAAATGACTGGCCTTGAAAGGGCCACATAATTGGACACTGTCTCATGACTCAAATAANGGGGGGAGGGGGGCTAAAGAGGTATACGAAAAAACTGATTTATAAATAGAATATCCCAAATTTAATGTCAGCAAAGTAAAGTGTAAAAGGAGAAAAAGGAACACAGAAAGGAGAACTCTTTTAGCTGCCACAGACAAACCGTGAATACAATAAACATTGACTCGTCTAAATTTATAAAGATGCCGAGAAAAAAAAAACATATCTATTTATCTAAAAGTGGATAAAAAATTATTTATAAAAGCAAATAATCAAAAATGAAAATTTCCCCACGGAGTCCAAATTTCACTTTGTCAGATAATGAAACAACTCAATCAAAAGGGAAACTACACAAAAAGCAATAAATTTGCACAGAGCAGACTAGCAGTAACAGAGTAACACGAAAGTTTCCAATTTTCTAGCTTGTATATCGAGAAAAAAGAGCAACATGCAAATAAAAATAAAAGAATTAATTTTTATTACCAAAAAAACAAAGATTTTACGACTGAAATTACCAGAGCAAGTTTTGAGAGTGGTCAATTTGTAAATCAAAACCAAAAGCCCAATCAAATGAATAGCTTCAGCCATAACAAAGAAGTAGTTGTGATCATGGACGACCAACTTGAGAGTAACCAATAACGTGAGCGCTGTGGTTAAACCCAAAAAGATTTTCACTTTCTTCGATTGTCTTCGAACCCATGAAAACAGTTTCTTCGCCGGCGATATAACCCCTTTTTGACCCATCTCCGTTACTGTCCGATCACCGGATTTTTTTTCTTTTTTTTCTGAGGATTTGTTGAAGGGTTTAACGTTTTTATTTGAGGAGCTTTTAATGCTTAGAAAATGGCGGAGTTTTTGTAGTGGAGTGGGAAGTGAGGCTGGTCTACGTAAGACTAACCAATGATAAATGGACACGTGGATAATTAAATATTTTCCCAATTAGGATTAGATTATTTTTAGGTGTAACAGATTACTTTAGGACATTAAGACAGCATACTTACCATAACGGGATTTGGTGGGTTTTGGTCATCTTCCAACATTCAGTTTCTTCTTTTTTTTCCTTTTTTTATTTATTTGGAGAGTTAATATTAATTTCAGAATATCATATTATTTTGTATTCAGTGTCTGATACTTTTATTAATTTTTCATTAGCCGGAATTGAGTCGTGTAAGTTTCTAAATCGAAAGCAATGTCTACTAATATTTTTTTTTTTTTAAAATCGAACTTGAGATATCTGATTAAGAATGTAGCGATCATATATGTATCACCGTTAATCCTAGTAGTAATCTCGTACCATCAATCTTATTATTATGATGGACATTCCAAGTGTAACAGTTTTCTATTAAAGAAGTATTGTTATTTAATGTTTAAAATGGTAAAACACAAGTCACATGTTCTGTTCTGTTAATGAGATATAAGAGTTGACTGTCTATCTAATACAGTACTGTCTTTTCTTTTCTTGGTTTAATGTATTACATTGAGTCAACTTTGACCAGGAAAGGATTAAATAATAATTATTGACTAGAAAAAGATTAAAGAATAATTAATAAACTGTTATGAAATATAGCTCAAAGTAACAATATAAAACAAGAAAAAACAAGCTAAGAGATATAGAGAGAAAGTGAGGAGAGATTTTTATTTCTTCTTCAATTGTGTGTATTTTCCTATTTATTACAAGGCCTTTATATAGGCATGAAAAGTGAAGAAAAATATGTCATTTAATATGTCATTAAGCATAGAAATATGTCATTGAATATGTCATTAATCATTTGAGAAATCATGGAGGAAGAGTACACATCCATTATAATTTGATTTTTCTTATAACACTCCCCCTTGGATGTCCATAGATAATGTGCCCGTTAAAATCTTATTAGGAAAAAAACCCTATGGGAAAAAAAATCCTAGTGAAGAAAAAAGAGTATACATGTTTAGAAATACGCCTTTTGGTTGCCTCGTTAAAAACCTTGCAAGGAAAACCCAATGGGACAAAATCTTATAAGGAAAAAAATTACAACGCGTATTAATTCACCTAGTGAGAGCATCAGTTCACATCCTTGACAACCTCGATTAGTTGATGTGAATTTATAACTGATAACTTGTCGAATTCGTACCAGTTAAAAGTTAGCTAAAACCCAATTTCCGATTCTGGGTGTTCCTCAGTTCATCATATGGCTGCCAATTTCTGGACTTCATCTCAATAGTACGTCTAAAATCCTTATTTCTTAGTCTTTCTTGTTTTTTTTTTTTTTTTGTATAATATTTTCTCGTTGTTTGCAGCAAAGAACTTCTGGACCCTGAAGAAGTAGAGGTAGTGCATCATCTGGATAAAGATAGAGGAATCACTCTCGATGATTTCAAGCTCATCAAATTGCATATGTCTAATTGTAATTCCCATTATTTTTCTTTCTCTAGTGTTTTTCAATGTAGAGTTTACTAATTGGAATTGACATAAAGTATAGTTTTTATGGTTAATTTGGATTTGCAAGTATATCAGTAAGTTGCTGGAGTTTTCAGGCTATCATATTAAGCTTCAGCCTATGATGTTACTTCTTTCTTGATTTCTTTTTGCAACATTTTCTTATAATTTTCAATTAGTAAGTTTAATAAATTTAATGATCATGAAAAGAGCACCAAGCAACTGCATCCAAGTACAAAAAGGTAACAAATGCTGTTATTGCTGTGGATACTGTCATTGGATATATTTGTTTCAAAATTTCTTCATAAATAATAGCTAACAATACATGTCTTTTCTCCACCCTATCGGACCTTGGATGGTTGGATCTGTATAATAATTAATTTATTGTTCTGAAATGACGAATTTCTTTTCTTTTCAGCTATTTCTATTGGAATCAGTTGATTTCCTATCTTGAAAGAAATTAATAATATAGTTACTCGAGATCCAAAGACCAGAGATGGGAAATTTTATGTTATGTGATTCCCATTTGTTTCAGAATTTTCACTGGCCCTCGAACTGTACTACCTACACTCAACTGTCATCTAAGATTTATTGCTTGCTTAGAAATTACATTGAGGTTCGTTTGGAAGAATGAAACTTGTTGGTATTTGAGAGCTCAAAATATACTTTAGGAAAGCTGATGTGCATATTAATCGCAGTTTCAGTCAACAGAAACGGAAAAAGTTCTGGTTCACCTTATCTGTTGTAATGTCACAATGAAGTATTTGTAATAAAAACCCAACATAGCAAAAATATTTGTACAAAGTATGTAGTATAAACAAAATACTGTTACCTTATTAAAAAAATATTAAAAAATACTGTTCTTTTGGAAGTCAGTTTCTATATCAATCTTGTACTAAAAATATGCATCTTTCTACATGATATGGCAAATTTTGCTGATTTACACGCTGGTAATTACAGTTAAAATCATTTGTCTGGCATATGCTCACTTTACAGGAATAATTGAAACATTCAGCATACCTCTTGAGCACCACTTATTCTTTCTCGAACATATTTCGTATTTGCATACCAAACTTATTAGAATTTCTGCTTTACTCGTATCTCTTTTAATGTATATATGGCTGGTATCTTTGCCTGACTTGCAGTTCTTGTTGTGAATCATGATTTTGCACTTGATAACTTAAATAACTTTCTCCATCTCGTTTGATTTGTTAATTTCTCTGCTCTCTCACAGATGTTGCAAGATTGGCTCAAAATGTGAAAGTGAGACAAAGGTCTGTTTTCTATCCTCATCTGCTTATAAAGCGTTTCTTTTATAAGTAATGAACATTTCTTATGTTCTCTCATCAGCATAGTTTTCTCTTTACGAGCATAATTTTCTGTCTGAGGATCATAACCTTTAGCTGAAAGGTAGAAGAATCTACTAGTTGTAGCTAGTTAATAGTTAGAGCACTCGCTTGATGATAGAGGAACGTTAATGCTCTGATGCTACATAAGTGTGTCTTCTGCTCAATATATGGATCATAGGTTGTAGATTACCTATCGACACAGTTGTTTTTTTTCATTTTGTATCACAAACTTTTCAAGACTGCATTTTGGACCTGAGTGTTTATTATGTGTATCTCCTTAACTTTCACAGAAGATCACTGACAGAAATTTTACACTGTACTATGTTTCACCACTGAGTCAAGTGATTTACAATGTTCTCAAAAATTTGTAGAAAGATTCAACTATGCTATGTTTATACGGAGAAATTTTAGCAACAGATCAAAATAAGCATGAAACTGAATAATGAAACATTATATGAGTATACATACGCATATATTAAAGCTATGCTATGTTTATACGGAGAAATTTTAGCAACAGATCAAAATAAGCATGAAACTGAATAATGAAACATTATATGAGTATACATACGCATATATTAAAGCTATGCTATGTTTATACGGAGAAATTTTAGCAACAGATCAAAATAAGCATGAAACTGAATAATGAAACATTATATGAGTATAAATACGCATATATTAAAGCACCTGTTTTTGCTACTTTCAGCAATCTTGGTATCTAATATGTGGTTATTTCCAGGGTTGTTGCCACTGCTATTACGTACATGAGACGCGTATATGTCAGGTATATCGTGTTATCTTTGATATTAGAAGGACAGTACACTATTCATTTTAAATTATTTACCTAATCAGAGAAGTACACTATGCACTGTACCTTCAGGGTGTTGGTGTGGAGGGTACGTTACTTTTAGGAACTTTTAACCCAAAAAGCCACCGCCAAAACATAAATCCATATTACTTTAAGCCAATGAGATTTTGATCACCTAATGGTTCTTAAAGATATTGCGTAAATTCTTTGGCTTGTTTAAATGGATCATAAAAGAGGAAAAGCGAATCAGCGCTGCGAACAAAATGTAGAACTGAATAGAAAAAAGATTGGTATTACTTGCTGTAAAGTTCTGATGCAGAACTGGCGGAGGAAATTCAGCTCTGTCAGTGAGAGAGTCTGAAGAGTCACTTCTCCAAAGGATTTCCTCACAGATATACGCAATCACCAGCTGCGGCCACTCAAATTGTGATTCACTATATTCTGTCAGAAACACATTATCAGAAAATGACTTTATATCATGAAGCAAATTAAGTAAAACAAATAAATAAGCTGATTCAGAAAGGTTATTGGATGAACCACTTTAGTTATTCGTACAAAAAATGGAAATATGTGTACAATACTTAAATATGTTACAAAAAAGTTCACTTAAAAAAGTTAAGAAAAAGAAAGAAAGAAGAAAGCACCCTCTGCTCTGATTGTTGGACCAATTGTTTGCTTGTATCTGGAAACCATGTGTTAACTGTTTTTTGGAATAGTAATCGTGGACAAAGTCATTCTAATTGAAAGGAGAATTCTCTAATTTGGACTTTATATATCCTTTCCGTTTCACAAAATTGAAACCTTTAAAGTCACACTTATGTTCTAGGGGGGCTACCATTGCTTCACCTTGAAACGTTCTACTTTACTGTTCTCTCTAGTCATCGTTTTTCTTGTCCGTAGGAGAAGTATGACCGAGTATGATCCTCGTCTGGTTGCTCCAACTTGCTTGTATTTGGCATCAAAAGCAGAAGAAAGCACTGTGCAGGCCCGAGTTCTTGTATTTTATATCAAGAAATTATGTAAGTACTTTGATTGCAATGACGAAGTACTTATTATGATATCCTATTGTTGCTACGTGGATTACATAATTTAGTTAATTTGTAATACAAGATGTTGATTTTTATGGGTTGGTTATGCAGATTCTGATGAGAAGTATAAGTATGAAATAAAAGACATACTTGACATGGAGATGAAAGTTTTGGAAGCCCTAAACTATTACTTAGTTGTATATCATCCATATCGTTCATTATCACAGTAAGTATCGTGGAGTATGCTTTGTCAGGCCAGCTCTCACCCTTATTCAGCAGAAATTATAGAATCTTAAAATTGGTTAATGCATTTTGAATTTTACTAATGAAGGAGTTCTGGATATGAATGACAAGACTGGAGTAGATAGTTGTGTGTTAGGTGTTTTTGCAGTCTCCAAGCAATCAAATTATAATATTCCTTATGTAGCTGATCAACAACAACAATCCAGTATAAATACACAACTTGAACTTTTAACTCAATTGGCAGGTTCCTTCAGGATGCTGGCATGAGCGATACAACTCAATTGACTTGGTAAGAAACTTTCAGAGGCCTTCATATCTTTGATTTTCAGTTATGAAATTTACCAGATAAATATGACGTCCCATAATAGGTATTTCCAAAATTATACATTCTTGTTTTGTTTTGATAAGTCTGGAATTCTACTTAAATTCCAGGGGACTTGTAAATGACACCTATAAGATGGACCTAATTCTTATACATCCGCCACATTTGATTGCTTTAGCCTGCATATATATTGCAAGTGTGCTGAAAGATAAAGAAACAACTGCCTGGTTTGAGGAGCTTCGAGTTGATATGAATGTGGTATGTATGCAAACTCAAATCTGTGCCTGTGATTTTGAAATATAACCAGGAAAGACCATCGTAGACTCTCTTAAAAATCAAATTCCTATATTACAAAGTTGATACGGATAACTTTTAGCTTAACTTGTCACTATTTTATTTTATTTTTTCATGATACGTGAACTGACATTATTTTCTACCCAGGTTTCATAGTTTACTTGTCATTTAGAGATGTAGTTTTGTCACTGTAAGGAAGATAGAGAGGATTGATTCTGCTCTATGTTGTTTTAGGATTTTCTCAACTCCTAGAACTTGCTTCATGTCATATGTACTTCGTTATGTCAAATGTGGGTGGTGAAATAAGTTGATAAGATAGTCTATGCTTAAATAAAACTTGATCTATCACACTTTTGGTCAAAATGATTTACATCAGGTGTATAGGTAAGTATGATGCAAAAGGTTTCACGAAAGCACCGATTCAAGATATGATAATCAGATTGTTGCTCAAACAACCTGCCATGTTCCAACGGGGTTTAAACAGCTTGGAGCATTGACTATCCTAGATGAAGTTTCTTCCTAGCATCATCTTTTAACTAATTTCTCATTATTGACAGGTGAAAAATATAGCAATGGAGATACTAGATTTTTATGACAGCCATAAATCGATCTCAGATGAGAGGGTAAATGCTGCAATGAGCAAGCTAGCTGGAAGGTAGTTGCTACCGTGGCAGTGACTTGGCCTCCCGTTATCTCAACTTTGTTGTCTCAGATCTCTTATGAACAACTTGTTTTCTTTTTGCGAGCCAGGTGTTAAACAATTGCACAATGGCCAACAGCTTCCAATGCTACTTCCAATTAAGAGATTCAAGAGTGGGAAGTCAAGCATCGGCATTGTTAAATGACAAGCTTGATTACAGAGGCAAATTCAGTGGGTTCAAAATTAGTGTGATCTTATTTTATATGTATCCTTTTTTTTTTCTTCCCCATATGTATACATAGTTGAGGTGGAAGCAATGGGTTAAGTGGAACTCACAAAATCCGCCCAAAACTCACCCCTGCAGGATTGCCCGAGGAGACGAAAAGGAAAGAAGGTGTGGCAGCTTTGGACCAGCAACCGCGTGTAATAGGAATAAGTCGGATTTGATGTAACACCACCTTAAGGTAAAAGGCATGAAAATGTTAAACTCAGTAATGTGTATTACTTGACCTGTATGACATCTTTAGTTCCTTTAAAGAATAGACAACATTTCCAGTTTAAAGTTCAGCACCTTTTTCGGAGACACAAGCACTCGGCTATTCATAATTTTGTCAATGTTTAAAGTTGAAAAATATTTGGAAGAAATGGTGGCTTCTTGCTATGTTGTTTTAGTGTTGTGGATAATTAAAACCTAAGCAAAAATTTGTAAATAGCTCTGGGATGAAAGCAATTGCGACTAACAACAAATATGAAAAGGTACCTCAATCAAGGAAGTCATGATAATATTCCTTAAAAGGCACAATTACAAGGATGATAACAATCGAGAAATGCATATTACATCAGCTTCGGGCTGCCTCTCCAGGTGATAGTCAATTAAACATTTTCTCAAGGCAAGACACAATTCTTGAGACTTAGAATCAAAATATCTTGACGTTTACTCTGAAAACTACAAAAAGGCTTATCCCGGTTGTATGTAATGTGCATCATAATGGAAGGCCTTTTTCATTGCTCATTCTCGGACTTGACCTCTGGACATACAGCAGATTCGATCTTCACTTTACAATCAGTCGCTGGTGCTGGTGTGTTCCCATCAGTGTTCTTACTCTTCGCTTTCTTCTTAGCTTGCTTTTTTGCTGCATATCAATCAAATACATTAGTCAACTAATTACCTCTAGCGCAAGTAGAACAGCTAAAAGGGAAGGGGTATAATCATCACCTAGTCTCCTTTTAGCTTCAGATTTAGCAAAGAAATCCCTCCATTCATCTGTAAGGACAAACATAGGCTCGTCCTCTTCATCTTCTAAGTCCTGATCTTCGTCTTGCATCATTCTTCAGATGAAAAGCGACAGAATTAGTTAAAAACTACAGGGTGAAACTAAAAGCCTTGAAATTGACAGCTCTAAGACAACATTAACATCTCAAAATCAAAGTTTCAAATGGATACAAGAAAGGGATCGTGCCACTGATGCCAGTGAGGTTTAGGCTCACTGTCTACAACACCTACTTGATTCAAAAAACTTTCACCCCTTTTTCAAGAATAAAACTGAAGACACAGAAAAGTTGGATCGTGTAGTACTTCTCAGTGTTTAGGATGGACAAACTCCCCTTCTTCAAGAGTTTCTTAAGATAACAGAGGTTGAACAGATATCACTATTCGGCAGCATAGTTTACACACATGCACCTCTTCCTTGATAGTCAATCACCATATTCAGCCCAAATCAACTCAAGATTACCAAATGCAGCCACCCTGAGCATGTGCAATTCTGAAGTTGATAGAACTTTTTTGAAACTTAGAATGGACTTTAAGATGTTCTATTAAGGGGAGGAGAAAATTAAGTTCGCTTGGAGATGGCTGCATTCTGTAGGACGATGTAGGACTCCAGGAGAGTTTATACATAAAGAAGAATGATTTAGCGGGTGATAGAGCGGATGAGGGCCTGAGCCAAGAAATTGAGTATGGGAGTGGAAAGGGACAAGTGGAAAGACTCTTCAGGACAATGGAAGAGGAACAGGGGAAGCCAGAGGGGGAGGACAGCAAGCACAGTTTGAAGGCAGACGTGTGATGTATATGGCTGGAGGGAGCAGTTGTCCAGTTGATGCTCCTACATATCTCTTCTTTTTTCATCTGAGATCTCCACAAAAACAATTCCATGTTTGGAGAAAAATGTATCCAACACTTTTAGACTCTTCCTACTAAAGGTAGCCATGAAACATCTCAACTTTTAGTCTCTAAACAACATTGCATATACAGTAGTACTCATGTTTAAAACTTGTGGTATAAATAAACTCGTGATTAAATGAGGTAAAAACACTACCAATTAGCAGAGGCGAAACCAAGACTTCAAGCTTATGGGTTCGGGAGTCTAATCATTTTAAGTTGCTGGGTTCTAAATTAATAGTTTATACATATTCAATGGACTTTTAAGACAAAAACAATGTTCGAATTCAAAGCCGACACTCTAGCTCCGCGCCTGCCAATTAGTAAACTTATTATCAATATATAATACTAATAGCATTACTAAGATAATCACAATATAGTACAATGTGTAGCAACTACTACTTCAGTAGCACCATCAGAAACACAGACAACTTAATTTCCTGCCGTGAAAAAAAAAATCAATCTTCAGATTAGCTCAATTTTAATCAGAGAAACAACGAAGCATTAAATTCATCATTGAAGAACAAAAGGACATAGGGGAAAAGTAACCTCGAGTCAGTAAAATTTCCATTAGGCTCAGAAATCTGCGGATTCAAATCGTCCGGCAAAATAGCAGGTGAAATCTGTTGAGGGTTTTGCGGAAAAGGAGTGAAAAGTGGGCATGTTGGAATATGATTGTTCCGCTGCAACATGTGGCTGTGTAATGGACAACTATGTAATATCTGAAAGTGATGATGATGATGATGAAGCGGATGATGACTCCATGGCTTGGGGACGACTGAAGAATTTTTCTCCATTAATGGCTTGGTGCTGTACTCCGCTATGCTTCTTCCTTATTTCGGGTCAAGGTATTGGGCGCAGTGACTGGGCTACACAACCAAAGCCCAACTATACTGAGGTCTTACCGGAGATTTGCAGTCGTACCCCTATTTTTAAAAATTATTGATTTGATAGCCACCTGACAAAAATTCCATAATAATATGACAATTATGCTCCTGATAAAATATATAAAACCTGCATCACGCATTAATCGTGTGATCTACAACCTTATTCGTGAAAATTTTCACATTTAAGCTAAAATTTCATGTTAGTGCATGCTTAAGTTATTTATCATGCAGTCTATAATTTTGTCATGAGTTTTATCTAGAAACTTCAATCTAAACATGCTGAAGTTTTTTAGTTCATTTGCTAAAATTTCAGACTAAATATACTTAAGATTTTGTCCCGCAGTATATAATTTTCTAATGAGTTTTTGCTAATACATGTTGAAGTTATTTAGTTCATTTGCTAAAATTTCATACCAAACCATGTCGAAGTTTTGTCCTGCAGTCTACAGTTTTGTCATGAGTTTTATCCGAAACTTCAGTCTAAACAAACTGAAGTTTTTTAGTTCATTTGCTAAAATTTCATACCAAACCATGTCGAAGTTTTGTCCTGCAGTCTACAGTTTTGTCATGAGTTTTATCCGAAACTTCAGTCTAAACAAACTGAAGTTTTTTAGTTCATTTGCTAAAAATTCAGACTAAACATGCTTAAGTTTTTGTCTTGCAGTATGTAGTTTTCTAATGAGTTTTTACTAATGCATGCTGAAGTTATTTAGTTCATTTGCTATAATTTCATACCAAAACATGTTGAAGTTCTATCTTGCAGTCTACAGTTTTATCACGATTTTTATCCGAAATTTCAGTCTAAACAAGCTGAAGTTTTTTAGTTCATTTACTAAATTTTCAGACTAAACATGCATAAATTTTTGTCTTGCAGTATGTAATTTTCTAATGAGTTTTTGCTAATGCATAATGAGATTATTTAATTTATTTGCTAAAATTTCATACCAAAACATGTTGACATTTTGTCCCGTAGTCTACAGTTCTGCCAATAGTCTTTAATTATCGTCTTTTTAAAACGCTTTTAACAAAACAAAAAAAAAAGCGGGTACGAATGCAAATTGAAAAATAAAACGGATACAAGTTAAAAGGGACGAACAAATAGGGCGCCCCATACAATTTTTACGGTCTTACTCTCGACTAGACCAACTCTTCAACGGTTTGGCCCGCATGAGAAATGCACTACCCAATTCGGGTGAAGTACACGAATAGTATGGTCTTGAATTTTTGTTCTCGCTTGGCTCATGAACAGAACTTCAATAAGTGTTGCCCCTCGCTTGCCTCATGGGCAACACTTTTAATTTTTAACTTTGACGTTTTGTCCACCAGCAAAGCGAGGGTAAAAGATAAAGACTACACAAAAATATTCACATTTCTATATTTTTTTTACGTCATTGGTCTTAATAAAATATTGCAAGGGCTACCCATTTTTCGTGCTAATTTTTGAGAAGTAGTGTTTGAAAGTTCGTTGAAAAGTAACCATTTTTCGAAAATATCATGACCGTGTTATGAATTTATAACAGTGAAAAATCCAGAATAACGTACTGAATTTTGAAATTCACGACAGTGTTATGAATTTCAAACTTAAAAAAAGTAAAACTCTATGACAATCTCTTGGATTTTGTCCAAGATACAGTCGCGGAGTTTCACCTTTAAAAGTTCGAAATGCGAAAAATGGTCAAAAATGTTCTTGAACTATTTAAAATAGTTCAAAAATATCCTTCGTTTATTTTTGGTAGAAAAAATAACTCTCTTGTCTATGTTTTGGACCACAAATACCCCTTAAACCGTTAGTCTTGCCATTGAAGCTGACATGGCAGTCCAACTGGGTTAGATTTGCTTATATGGTCATCCACCTAAGCAATCCAGTATGACAAAATTATTTTCCGAAAATTTTTATTTAAATACAAAATCAACACTTATTCCGAAAAAAGTAAAAAATTTCCGGAAAAATTATTTATTTCGGAATTTTTTATTAAAACACAAAATCAACACTTATTCCGAAAAAAGTAAAAAATTTCCGAAAAATTATAAGAATTTCGAATGAACCAATTGATACTTACAGTAGAGGTGTACTTTTTGTGAACCTATAACAGATAAGCATCTAAAAATTTAGATCAAACTAATCATAAATTCACAAAAGAGAACAATGGAGTTTTTTAATCAAATCATAAACCACAATCAAGAATAATTTTTTCGGAAATTTTTTACTTTTTTCGGAATAAGTGTTGATTTTGTATTATAATAAAAAAATCCGAAATAAATAATTTTTCTGAATTTTTTTTATTTTTTTCGGAATAAGTGTTGATTTTGTGTTTTTATAAAAAAATTCGGAAAAATATTTTTTTCAAAAAAATAATTTTACCATGCTGGATTGCTTAGATGGATGGCCATGTAAGCAAATCTAACCCAGTTGGACTGCCATGTGAGTTTTAATGGCAAGACTAACGATTTAAGGGGCATTTGTGGTTCAAAATATAGACGGCAGGAATATTTTTGGTACCAAAAATAAACGGAAGATATTT